AAGAATTGTATGCACGTATCGATATAATTGCAATAAATAAAGTCGAAACCCATAAGTGCGTATACGAATAAAATTTGCATCTAAAAATTTAATAACAAGGATTGTATAAAGTTTTTTTCAATGAAATACAATAAATAATTATAAATAAGAAATGATAATAATAGATATGTGACAAAGGGCAAATGGGTTGGACGATGTATTTGAAAATCTTGGGAATTGATCAGTCCGGATGTCACATTTTGTCTGCGCGGCATGTTCTCACCCTTGTTGTTGGGGTTTCGTGCCCCGTTTGCACCCGATACACGCGTAACAGTCGCACGTGCGTTCAACATATACACTTCCCTTTCCAGCACCCCACATCTTTCAGCCACGTCTCTTTCCCTTCAATTTTCTCTTCTCTCCTCGACTCTATTTCATCGAACCATTTGTCTCTGCGGTTTCGAATGCAGTTACAGCTTCATCCACCAGTAGTATGATTACCATTTATCACTTACCATTGTTCAGTGAAATGTAGTCGAGAGAAGTATTGGCGATTCGAATTTTTTCGTATTGAATTTTTTTCACATAATCCTATATTAACGAAAAAGATTAACTATTAATTAAATACAATATTATAATTCTTATAATAAAATTATTAAAAAAAAAAAATATTAGTTTTTAATATCAAAATACGATGATCATTACGTATTACATGTTGTATTAACTTACGGAGCACACAATTCTGCAACAATTCTTCCAAAAAGTATTCCAAGCGATAATTTTCGTTCACAGAGGATCTCAGCGGACCAGAACCGGGGAGTTTCTCAATCGGAGCTTTTGTGAAACAGCTGTTTCTACGGTTGTCGCGCCTCGTTACCGGCCTTTTTTCCACCACCCTGAAACAAGAAGCTGGCATCAGGACGTCGTTATAACGCGAGGCGTCCACTTTTCCACACACTCCTATATGTTCATCCTCTTACCCACCCCATCGTCCTCGAGCTGCCGCTGTCGTCCGTGGTCCTTGTGTGCTGCAAATAAACCTCTCCTGGAAACAAACAGGGACAAACTGGACTTCCACTGGACAAATTGACACCCCCTAACAGACACGTATGTACGATGCCTCTCTCCTGTTTTCACGATTCGACCGTGTTGATCCACTTTGCGCGCTTGTTTAAAGACTAAATAGTATACGGTGCAACTGTTGTGCCTCGTGAAATGTATATAACAACTTTCGTTTCGGATTATTATTCAATCCGCGAGACAATAATCGTTAACCGTAATGAATGTAAAAGTTGGAGTGGATGAAAATTGGCACGCGATATGGCTATATCGAAATTTCGAAGATGAAGTTCAACGATAAGTTCGATTCAAACGATGCCCTTCGGACTATCACTAAATTGAACATGCTGCGATAGATATATATTTATAAAGTGATAGTCACGTGGCGGACAGTGATACAATATCAGAACACGATTCGCCACGTGTCGCTCGACGTGAGTTCTGTAACAGCACTTTCGCTTTATTATAATACACCCCTAAGTCCGTGTCCCCAGCGATCATAATCGCATTTGGCTTCTGCCTTTCACACAGAAATCACGTCCTAACACGAATCATGTTACATACTAGTTTCTATGCCAGTTTCTATGCAGTAAAGAGAAAATTCTAAAGAAGAATTAAAATAATTTGGATATCGCATCATATTCATTCGTTATTGAAACGCTTGAAATGTTATTATTTTTTTTATGGAGTTAAATAGCTCAACATTTGTCTTTTTTTCCATTTAATTTTTATATTACGTTTATATTACAGTTTATTATTATTAATTGTAACGTTTATCTTTTTCATTTATATTATGAACCGAATAATAATTTAATAATAATTAAAATTTAAAGTTTGTGTAGGTAAACTGTGGATTTGGAAACTATGGGATGAGAAATTGGATTTCTGGACAAGAGTTTCTAAACAATTTAAGAAAGGTTTTTGTGAAAAATGGTTGTGCTTCAATCGTTTACGCGAAAACATAGAGAGACAGAAATATGAAAGAGGAACCAGTGAAGAGAAAGCGCCAAATGGCCTGCTATACCTTCCAGCCGCATGAAATTGACCCATAAATTTATGTTACATGATTTACTATACCTTACAAACTGACAGACCAGAGAAATATTCGGTGCGGATACTCGGTCAACGTTCAATGCTACTGTAGCCACAGATTTTCAAAACATCGTAGAATCACGGCAACATAACATTGAATATCCGATTTTACCTAGGTAATATCACCGGCCCATGGTTGATTCTTATTATTTACAACAGCTTCCATAAATTTCAACCAAGCACAAACCGCTCTGTTTACAGATATTTGGCGAAGATTTTTAATATTCCATTCATATTGGCTGGAAAATATTGAAATTATATTTTGTAAAAATATTGGTAACATCTGAATTTTTTAACGCGTTATAATACATTTCATCATTATAAATTTACGTAATCCTACCCATTCGCGTAATTCTCCCAAAAATTTCTACCGTTTGTTTTGTTCGACGATGATTAAGAAAGATTCTGTTCCATATTATAGTATTTCGAAAGGGTCGTCGATGAAAGATCCCACGACCACCCGAACGAGGCCCGCATCTTGACATCCGCCGGTACACTATTTAGCGATAATTTACTCGTCGTCGTCACGGAATACCATCGAAAAATTCAGAATACCGTGGTCGTTGACACCGAGAGATCAGGCTTTGAATCCCACGGGTATATTGTTGTCCAATGACACGTCTGTATTTACACGTCGTATGCCAAAATTGCATGTTCCGACAGCGTAAATACGCCCGTATACGCCTCGAGATCCAATATTGATGATTTCTCTTTTTTATCCGCCGTTCATGTAATGCAATTCCTTTATATTTATCGAATACTTTCATGTAATTCAATAATATTAAATATTGAATATTTTTTAAATGATTGTTATTACATGATTGAATTATTTTTATAAATATTTCCAAAGATTTCAAAATTTTTTTCTCAAAAGGTGCGAAAATGAAGAAATTCTCATCTCTCTACAATAATAGAAGGATTAGACGATTAGGTGTCGAGGGATCAATTTTCTTTTTTCTTCAATCGCGTTATTCAATTCTATCAAAAGAATTTTTTCCGCTTCTTCCCATACTTTTTTTCTTTCTCTTTTAATAGTATTAAACCTTTCGTGTATCGGTGAAAAGGTACATTCATCTCGTTGCACGATTCACTCTTCTAAAAAAAAAAAAAATTGTCAAGTTTGAAATTCATCAATCGCACCTGACGAATTCCGTAAAGTATTCCCAGGGTTGACCATTTTCTTTTAGGAGACAAATAAGAAACAGACTTTATTCAGGTAAAGGACGTTGACAAATAAGTCATCCGACACATAGTAAAATGGAACACCTGAAAAATCGAAGGATTAGTAAGTCCCCCTACGAGAATTCCGACCGAATTTTCTTTCATCCTCTCTTCAACCTAAGATTTTATATCGAGAAAAAAAGTTTCTTAATATAAAGATTAACAAGATTCACTCACCGTTAAATATTTATACAACGTTCATTACGTGGCCCGAAAGATTTTATTCCAAGCATTGAAAGCTCTGATCGATAATACCAAAACGAAGATACAAAATTTCTACTTTAACGCCATTTTCTATTACCCGATTCGGAACTAATCGCGGCCCGCTACCGGAATTTTCTGCCACTGACGACCGAATAACCCAAATACTTCACGGACGTCTAGTTTTTCCATTATCCTTTTATTTTCTCCCCCGACGCGCATCTTCTTCCTCTCCCTAACTTTCTCGAAGCTCGTGCGGAGAACCGAGAATCGGCTACCGAATTTTTCCAATTCGCCTTTCTACTATGATTTACGAATCCCTCGACTCCCGGTCGACTACGTGCAACTTCCAGGTCAGCGCAAACAAGAAATTGCACGAGGAAGGGAGAAACTTGTGCAAATACCTCGGTACCGGCTAAACACACTCTCTCTCTCCTCGTGGCGATGACTTCTGTTCCAACGCGTTTCTCTTCGTCGTCCCGGTAGCGAAGATTCACCTCGAGGCAAAAGCCACCCCATCGAGGCTTGCCACAACAATTTCTCTGTTCACGATGTAGGTTACCGAGACGATGCTTTCAGAGACCTTTTAGCCTACTGCTTTACTGCCCTATTATAAATCAATTCCTACAGGCTGACCGCCAAGGTCGCAGCGTTCGCCCTCCAAGGATCTTTTCGAAAGTTCATCAAACAAGCGAGCTAGCTTTTTTTTTCCTCGCTCGGAGAGAAATCTTCAATTTACTGCAATCGAAAATCCTCTTAATTGTTGATCAAGTAAATGAATACCTGTGAAAATTAATACATAAACAGTCATTGAGGGAATTAATTACGAGATTTAATAGCAAAGATTCAAATGAAAAATATTAATAAGATTTTAGGTTTAAGATTAGATATGGTTCTAATTTTCTTAATTTTTTTCTTTTTTTTNTTTTTTTTTTTTTTCTAGTTTCGTTTTGCTTCTTTTGTAATGTTTAAATAATTTGTAATGGTCAAATGAGATAAGAAGAATTAAAAGATTAAGGTGTTATTCAGTGGAGTGACATTTAAATTAAATAAGGAAATGTTTTTGTAAAATATGATAATGTAATCAAATTATAAAAATAAATAAGTATTAAGAATTATTAAAAATAAAAATAATATTTATTGATCTCTAAATTTCATAAATTTATCTCAAATATTGGTCAATTGTTTGTATCAATTAAAATTCTTTTTTCTTAAAAAATTTTATTTATAGAGAATTAAAATTTTAGAGATTTTCTCTTCTTTTAATATTATCTCAAATACGTTTTTTTCAATCGAAGTAACCTCTTTCATTCATGATTGGAATCATTTTTTGAGCTAATTTCACCGCGTCTGGACTTTTGAAAACATTCATTTTAGTTTCACCTAACTTGCCAAATAAATCGTCAAAATCCTCGGTATCTTCTTTATTTGCCAGCATTCGTAAATTAAGCACGATTCCAGCAAAAACAGCGTATATCTTTCTTTTATACAACGCTTCTTTTAATTCTCTCATCGTCGGTGGTTTTCTTTTGCAATCTATATTTTTCATAGTTTCCTTTAAAGTGTCTAAATATATCCCGAGGAAATAATCATCGTTATCGTATTTTATATCAATTTCCGGACAAATATTCAAAAAGTATAATAAATCGATAGCTGGAGATGTATAAACAGACATTTGATAATCAACCTGAAAAATATTATATCGTACAATCACAAAGAGGCAAAATTAAAAATACTAATTCCACTAAATTATATAGAAATTTAATTAAAAAGAAACAGAAATCATACTCTCACCTTACTCTCTGTTAATATATATATGGAAAAAGAAAAAAAAAATATTACCAATAAAACATCGATAGGTTGGCCTTTCTCATTTTCTTTAAACATCATATTATTGATCCAACAATCTCCGTGATTTAATACACAGAATTCGTTCGTATCATAATTATAGACATCCATACATCGTGATCCGATAGTTTCTGCTGATTTTATTAACTTGCTCGCTGCAGATGCACACTTTTCATCTGACCATTTTTGTATCTGATTACCTATCCGTAAAAGGCTTACTTCCATCATTCGTATAAAAATTTGAGGACATTTAACCGACACGATGCCACCATCTTTGAAAAATCCAATTAATTCCGGATCCTGTAAGATCAATCTTTATTAATATTGATTAAAAACTCAGTAAAGTTTTAAATATTAAAAACAAATTTGCATTTAATTGGAAAATAATCTAAAAAGTTTTAGATTCGAGTTTCGTAAATTTAAAAATTTTAAAAAATATCGATCAATATTTGTGTTTATAATTATAATCTTCTGATGAGGTTAGCTACCTTTTCAAAAATTGCAACAGATCCAGCGTGTAATCTAGCAATTTGTTTTATAAGTAAACAACAATGTTCACGTGATAATCCTTTTTGACGATCTTTCATTATAAATCCTCTGTCTTTTAAATTCTCCATAATGAGAAATGGTGGATTATCAGAAGAGTATAATAAATTCGGTCCAATTTGACAAGAGATAAATTCCTGTATTCTCGGTAGAATATCTTGTAAAACTTTCAATTCGATCTGGAATACGTTTTGTTGGCGAGCAATATCGCACGATAATCCGTTCACGGGTTCGGTTTTAATAATAAAATTGATCGAACGTTCCGATTTTGTTTCATTTTTCTTATTGTTAGAAATAACCATATATCTCACATGCATTATATATAAATCACTGAGAAAATTTAATCCTTTTTCTGACATACAATAACGTTTAATTTCCAGAATTTGAACGATCTCGTTCGATAATTTCTTTCGAAGTATTTTCTCAAAAATATTCTCATCGATTTTTATTTCCATTCTAAAAAATATATTGAATAATAATTATTCGAATACTCGAATAATGAAAATTTATCACAAATATTATTTTTCTTTTCGAAAGAACGATTATAATATATAAAAGTCGATTATAATGTCTTAATTCTTATCATTTTTAATAACTGCTTGAACAAAACTCATATAAAATATGTCATATTAATTCAACATATAAAATGATTTATAATAATTATCCAATTATCCAATTGAAATTGAATTTTAATCGTTATATGCATGTTGATTATACTTTTTTTTCAACTGCGAAAGATAGCGAAGAATAAAAAAAAAAAAAAAAAAAAAAAGATAATACGTATAGTCGTTTCGTGAAAACAGTTTTAAATATTAAGATAATGATAATGGCAAATATTAAGATAATGAGATTGACTCTGAGTAGTATAAATATACATCACTATACTATACTATATTCATATGAATTATGTATAATTGGAAATTAATGGATAATGCTACGTACATGCAAATTTTCGATAAATAAATGAAAATGTTCTTTATAATAATTTTTTAAAACTATGATTCTCAACACTAACTTTAAGCACTGAATACGCACGACACAAGACGATTCTCTGATCTTTTATGACTCAGGCCAATGAGTTTTAACGAGTTTAAACCGGCTCACTTCGCTATCATATTCTCAAAGACATATGCGCAAGATACATTCTTACCACTTAGTTTTTACGAATATATATTTCCTCACACTGACTTCTTGATCTTCACATTGTGAAGATATGACAAATATGTTACACATTTGAAATATGATATTTTAACCATCAATGTCTCTTTATATTTTATATGTAATAAAATAAAAGCTGATTGATTAACCAAAAGATTAGTCAAATTGATAAATGACAAGCCTAATATCCAAATTAAATAATAGATTTAGAAAAATATTTGTAATAAAAATATTAATAAAGAAAAAAGTGAAGAAACAATAGAGAAACTAGGGTCAAGTCAGATCAGAAAAGAATCATAAATTATTAGTGATGCCAAAATCTTTGAAATGTTACAGCGGTTCGAGTCCCATCCTATAACTTTTATAGAAGGTTACAAAACAGCTACCGTGCCTCTCATCTCGCCATTGCTTTTTCTTTTTTTTCATCTCCGTTTCCCTGAATTTCCACAAATTTTTGGGAACCTAAAAACTTTTACGACACATGCGGTAAGCCAAGAGTCGTTTCGCCGGTTACCGCAGTTAGGCGAGCAGGAAACTTTTCGAAATACTTCAAAAAATTCGAAAACGTGGTAATAAATCATCCTTGTCCTTTTCTTTTTTTTTTTTTTTTTTTCGTTATTTTGTTTTTACTTTTATAGAGATTTATTCTTTGTTTAAGTCAACCGCTAGTCGGTTATAACTTTAAATCCAAACCCGATTGACATTATATGGAAAAAATATCAATCTCTTCTTCGAAGAGAAAAACAGAAGAAATTATTCTTCATAAAAATAAAAATAAATGCACAGCTTATAATTAAACGATAATAAATTGATCGAATATTGATTTCATAGATTTGTTATGTATTATTATTTTGAAATGATATAAAAATTGAAGTGACTTGAACTGACTTTGATAAGTTTTTTCGAACATAACTGTTTCAATTCCCTTAATGTAATTGCGATAATCCGTCAATTAAGTTCGATAAAACTAATAATTCATTTTTATCAAAAACAGTTGAGACTTTGCAATTGAGATTAAAATATCTATCTCTTACATTAAATATAATTAACAATTAATAATAGCTAAATATAAGATAAATAGTACAAGTATTCTTTTTATAATAAGAGAAAGAGAGAAAAGTTCAATATTCTTATAAATTTTATTATGTTATGACATACGAAAAGTATAATAAGCCGTACTGGATGATGTAGGGAGTGATGATTTTCTATGGTATCATTGCTAGTCCATGCATATGTAAAGATTCCTCAAAAGGGTTTCTTCTATGGCACACTGGCTCCAGAGATACAAAGGGGCTTCCCTTTCGCGTGTCCCCGCATTTGTTTTATGTAACCGAGTTTATGTCACTCCACCCACTATCATCCGGCAGTGTTTTATATAAATTTTTAACTTGATTACACACAACGAGCTTGCACATGAGAGGTCTCTTATTGCCGCAGTTGATTGAATAATACAAGCCCTTCGAGCTTTCAAATTGTGTTATTCTATGAGCGAATATTTTATATTTTCTTACACAAACCTTATCTATTCAAGAGTTTGATACATTTGCCATTTATTCAAGAGTTTGATACATTGCGAATTATGCGAATCATCACAAATATGTGACATGACGATCATTATTTATCTATTAATTTTTATTTTTTCTTACTCAATAAAGATGATTATAAATATTATAAACTATATTTAGCCACTATATTTTTATTTCTTTTATATTTTTTTCATATTGTGTAAAATTAATATAATCAAAATATTCTTTTTTAAATGATGATAGCGAAACAAAAAAAATGCGATAAGAAATTTCACATAATATACAATTGTATGTATATAAAAATTCCTTTATAAAAAATGTTATTTAAGGTAAAGCAAAAGAATTAAAAAAGTGAACGAGATTCACGAAAAGTAAAGACGTAGGAAGTGAGTGAGTTTAAGAGACAGAAGATCGAATGGTAGACGATCAGGCAAAGCGCGTGGCAAAGCGGGCTATACTCCTGGAAGATAGGTCCAAATGGACCGGTACGTGTTTGGATCGCTTTTAAGAGGGCACCGTAAATTTTGCGGCCCAGCAGGGTTGTAAACTCGAACCGAACCGAACAAACGGCCCTCGCGAGGTAGGGGTGCCACCAACCTACAGGGGGTAAGAAGCGCGCGCACGCCACGCCACGCTGCGCCGCGCCTCCTCCTATCCCTCTAACAGACAGAATGCTGCACCACCTCGCACCACCTCACAGCATGCTTAGGATACGGGTCTTTCTCTCTCTTTCATTCATTACTTCTCTCACCATTTCTCTTACTCTCTTACTTTATTCTCCTACTCTTTTGGAGAAAGTTTGACAACTTCGTACTTCATACTTCAACTTCTTTCTTTTCTTCATATTATACGTATATAGCCCTTTGCACTCAAAGAAATATGTTTGCTACAAGGATAATAAAAACTTATGAAATTAATATAGAAATTTAATGTTATATAGGAACGTAAATATTATTATTTATTCTATTTCATTAAGACTTAAATAATAAGTTGTATAAAGCTTTAAAATAAAAATGAAACATAAATTGTAATTGTATATATTTTAGAAAATCATAATTCTCGAAAATGTATTTCTCTTCGCAAATTATGTCCAGAAAGAGAAGAGATAATGTTTCAAAATTATGACAGAGATATCTATATAAATGAGGAATATCGGGTAAGGACACTTGTTTCGATAATCCTTCTCACTACCTACGTTACCACGAAAATTTCAACGTTTTAACCAACTGCTTTCATACGTAATAGTTACAACGGAAATATGATCAGTGATATATAATAAATTGGAAAATGAACGACTTTTGTTCTAAAATTTTCTTAAAGATCCGACATCGATACCATATGGGATTTGGGAAATCAGATTAACATAAGATTTATTGAAGTTTCTTCGAATAATGGTGATCATTATTATAGAATATTTAGTCATAAACGAAATCGGAAAATCTTTTATTTATGTTACCGGATTTACTACTGTTTCATTAATTGCGTTTACAAACAACTGTTATTTTGTAGAAATATCATCCATTTCATAATTATAACATTCTGCTAATAAGTGTGCTGTATCATGGTCATATAAATATTGTCATATAATAATATCTATAAATGATAATATTATTACGATTAAAGACAATAATTCAAATACAATTACGATATATAATTATTCTATATAAAGAAGAGTGAGTCTCTCTTTTTCTTTCTCAAAATTTCAAATATTTCTTGATATATTGTAAAAAAAAAAAAAAACAAGTTATAACTTCTATATATTTCAGTATATCATATAATGTTCTCAATAGAAATCTTACTATCCTTTCAACATTTACACATAGAGGATTAAATATACATGTTACATAATAAATAAGAACAAAATTGTGATGTAATGTACACAATTGAATAGTAGCAGGTTTTTGATATCTTTTAATAAAAACAAATATTTATATTATTCATTCTTTCTTTAGGTTAAGTAAATAATCATTTTATTAATATTAAGTTGATGTATAAGAAACCGTTATTTTTTTAATTTGAAATTAATAAACATGAATTTTAAATGGTATTATGAAAAAATAATAAAGATTATATACATATTAATAATTTATGCATTTAAAATTCATTTTTTAAAGTTACATTTTATAATTTTATAATACTTACATATAAAAGTAGCAAATGTTGAAATCCTGGTTGAAGTTGAAACTGTATCATACGAACTGTCAATTAGGAATCCGTCGGTCGATTTCAATATCTGCTGAATCGATCCTTTTCGAGCGTTCATAGGTTGTCACAAGTAATTGTTCCGAAATTTGCTTATCTATACTTACGACAAACAATTTCTCTAAAGCACAGAGATTTTGTTAAATTAAGAAGTATAAATGTAAGTTTCACGTTATAAATTTATTAAATTGAATAAAATGATTAAATTAAATTAAATATTCAATTTTAATTATTAGATTTATGTGTTCAAAAAATATTTAATAATATACCCAATACCATATACATATTTACATATATAGATCCATGGATATTTTTTAATAATGATAGTATATAACTAGATGGCGTAAGTATTTATCTGGGGATTTTTTTAAAGCACATGAATTTATTATTGATTTCCAATATAGATATTATGTACTTAATGTATAAAAAGAAAAAAATATAAATTTATTATATTTTTAGATTAAATGTTAAGTAAATAAAAAATTATGTGCATATTAAATTATCTTTAATATTTTTACTTTTACTACACAGGTATTTACTTTATTTAAAATTAATTTTTTCAAAAATTATATATAATTATATTAATTTCTATTTTAAAACTGACAAACTTTTTTAGTCTATTTTAACCTATTTTAATTTAAAATATTTTAATTTATTTCAAAAATGATATTATAAATCAAAATTTTCGTTAAAACATTAAAACTATATTTATTAATATCTAAAATTTATTAATATCTAAAAACTATATTTATATGTTTTGTTCTTATTTATATCAATTTCAACTTTGAAATAATTTAACCAATTATAAATATTAAATATTTATTAAATAGCCAGAGAAATATTTACATAAAAATTGTAAAATGCAAAACAAAAAAGATTAAATAAAAATCATACAATGTATTGTATTGCTTAATGGATTTTTTTTAAATAGAAATTGTAAATAAATTAGAATTTAAATGACAAGAATCATAATATCAAATTTAATATTACCTAAAATTTGTATCAAATTATTACTATAAAAAAATTATTATTTGTTTTATTTAATTTATTTCGATGTGATTATCGATTTTTATCTTATCTTATCAATTTGAATATATATGAATATTGAATATATTATGATTTACCAAACATGTTATATTATTATAAAAATCATAAAAAAAAAAATATTTGATTTCAATGATAAGAAAAAAACATTTAATTGGATATCCAATTTTGCTTCATAGTCAAATACTTAGTTTTGTACTAAATAAGATAATTTATTAAACATTAAATATTTATATTTCAATATTCATTAAAAAAATATATAGAATATCAAAAATTTCTAAGAATTATAGAATATAAATCATTATATATTTTAATATTTTATAATACATTATAATATATTTTATAATAATAAATTTTTAAAATCCAAATGGTATCAAATAATTATTTTAACATTATTTTAACAAAACATTGAAACTTTTGAAGTTGAAATTTTTAATTTCTGTACAAAACATATTTTTCAACATTTTCTATCTTAGATTAATCACATAATGTCATGAGATTCACTCGAATCATGTTTTGGCTAGATATCGCAATTCTTATCTAGAGAAACAATAATATTTCCCATTTATTTGATCTATATATCCAATTTTAGATTTCTATATATCTCTCCTCCTTCCCCGTCTCCTTCTATCTTTCTCTATCTATCTTGTTTTATCTTTATAACATCAATAATTTAAAAAGATTTATTTATATTATTTCTTGCAACATTTCCATGTTTCCATATTTTAAATCGATAGAATATCTTATTAATATCTATTAAATATTAAATTTTGTGAAATTTTCAAGATTTCCCGTTGCATCTGTTGTTATATACCTACCACGAAAAGATATTTGAGCATAGTCACATGTACGTGGATGAAACAAGAGAAACTGTTCGCAATCTTGTATCTGGATAGCGATGATATTATTTAACAAACAAGCCGGATGGAAGATTTATCAGTGTACTGTTACCATTAATCTTTGCAACGACTTTAGCACACCAGCATGAAATTATTTCTCGGTAATTAAGAGATTAAATTCTGTTGCCTGACGCTGTCTTACAATCTCCTTCTCTTTTCCTTCCTCTTTTCTTTAATCTACATTTTTATATTACATATCTCCTATCTTATTACTTTGATCATTATATGTTATAATTTACGCAACAAAATGTATTTACTTGCTTTTGTTGAAAACAGAAAAAAGAATGCAACTTTCTTATAATATATAAGACATAATTAATTTTGTTGAAAATTATTTATTTTTTATCTTTTATGTCTTTAACATAAAATCAATAGATAATTAGTATTTGAAATATTTTATAATAATTTTAAAAATTATTATATAAAATTATAAAATCATTTAATAATGTCAAAAGAAATTGCATTTTCTTATCATAATGATTAAATCATTTTATTTTTAGTTTACACTGATTTCTAACTCAATTAAAATTTTATTGTTAAAAGTTTTACATTATTGTCAAAGAAAAATGTATCGTTACAAACGTATAGTTATTCAAATGTAACATTTTCAAACAATTGGTTCGTTTTTTTTTCTTATTTTCTAAAAAGATGACCAAAAGGAGAAAAGAGAAAGAAAATAAAAGGAAGAGGAAGAGGAAAAGAGAAGTAATTGTTCAAAGTCCACTATAGGTCCAGTAATTCCGAAGGCGAACCATCATGTCGGCGTCTCGATTGGTACGGACATACGAGCACGCACGTATTCGTGGTACAAGACTGAAAGGACACGTCTCGAATATTTTACCCCGGGAGTTTTTCCTCTTTAATTGATTCAATCGGCGAAAAACACGGCAGGACCGCTTCACCCTCCGGGAATTTTCACCCGCCGCCGCCTCATACCACTTCCGCGTCATCCACGCTTTCAGCAACCAACCACTGTAACGAGACGCTAGAACTAACCTTCCTTTTCGATGAAAACGCCAACTCCTCTTCGCGGTTAGTCCCTTCCCTGTTCCCTCATTCTCTACACCTACTTTCCTATTCTGTCTCTTTGTCTCCCTCTCCCCCCTCCTCTATCCTTATTTTCTCTTTATTATTATTTTCAATTTCCCTGGATCTAAATCTCTTTATTATATATTTCTCTAATCGTTCTTTGTAATTTTCCAGTTTTCATCTCCTTTTTTCTTTCTTTTTTTATTTATTAAAGATCAATTTGATTAATTGTGATTAATGTTTCTTTTTTCTTGTTTTTATTCTCATATGAATAAGTACGTATTTTTTTTAATTTATCTATTATTTTTTTTTTAACGCCGTTATATTTTATCAACTTTTCATCAATTTAAGGTTAGAATATCCATGTCCCTTACATCGAGGCAATTTCGTGATGTAATATAGAAACATTTATATGTATACAGAGGCGGAGGCGAAAGCAGCACTCCTGTGGGTCCATTTGTCTGTAGGAAATCGCTTTTGCGAGAATACACTGGAAACAGAACTTTCCATAAATGATGGAAACTCGGGAATTTTCCGTTTATTATTTTAATTAGAGCCTTCGGGCGTTACTTAACGAGAATCTGGCTGTCTGCGTTTATATTGTGTTACCTCTACAAAATGACAATGGAATGTGATATTATCGGTTTCTACTTACATGACGGCCTGTAATCTGCGCTCCAATCGAGACATAGAAAATTTTCGCAATAGATATGTATATTTCTTATTCATTTATCTTGCTTGTACTTTATAATTTTTATTATAAAAAAAAACGAATACAAAGAATATCTATATTAATTTTTTTATTTTTGATGAATAAGTTAAGTAATTAATTGTTTATTATAATTATATAATTATATAATTTTATTTTATTATAATTAATATAAATTTATAAATTAATCAAATGTAAAAAGAACATATAATTGAACAAATAATATTAGAATTTAATAAAGCAAAACAATTATAATGTGATTAAATTCGTTTTTCTTAAGATAATCTTTAAATCTTTAATTTAAAAACTATTATTATAGGGAAAAATTAGTATTCTAATGTAAAAAATAAAAAATCTCGATCGTTTTTTTAATCATTTTTTATGTATCAGTAAAAATTGACTATTGGCTAAAAAAGTCCAGTTTTTTCCGTTACTACGGGAAGGATAGTGGGATTAGTTTTTTGTCATTAGAAGGTACCGTTAAAAAAAGTAGCGGAAAAATAATTTATAATACCAATTTTTTATATATACTTTTTCGAGAAAAGAAAATAAAATAGTTTTTTTGTTTAGCTAAATTTTTTTTATTACACAAAAAATTTACGTGACGACGAGAACATTTTAAACTTCAAATCCAATGTTTATTCGAAAATAAGCAGTCCTGTCGTAAACCTAAAAAAACCCGTTACTTAAAAAAATTGACTTTTCGACTCTATTTTTTCTCGAAGTACCGTTTTTTTACACTTCAAGAATGCGCATAAAACAATTTTTAAAAAGATTTAAAAAGATTTAAAAAGATTTATGATTTTTCTTTACTTGGAAAATATCAATAGATATTTTTTATAAAAAAAATTGTTTTAAAAAATTTAACTTAAAATTTTCAAATATCTTTTATTTATGATAATTATTTTATTTATTATTAAAATATTTGCTAATTTATTAACTCCTAATATCATCATTACAAAATATTTTTAATAAACTAATAAGATAAGAAAATAAAATAAAAAATCTATTATGACATTTACGAAAAAAATATAAAGACCAGGCAAAATGCAGATGGGGCCAATATTGATTAAATACCGTGGAATATTTTGAAATCGGATATTTTAATTTGTAAATAGAGCATATTATTCACAGTGCAATGCATTGTGATGACGATATCTATAGGGTTCAGAAGTACCGCTTTTAATGACCCGGACGTATATAGTTCCACCTAGCAATGTCGTATTCAATTCCAACCTCTATACTCTGCGTACTCTCAAAGTAATTCTCTTTCCGATTCTTCGACCCTTTCACTTCAAAAATTTGGCTCATATTACCGTACTATAGACTTGCGTCGATTTTTTCAATACCTACGTTTTTTCAAATCATTTACATTCCAATAAATCTTTGCAACTTTTTTTTTACTATAGTGTGTCTTCTTTTAATCTTATTTAATAGAATCTCTTGTCTAATTAAACTAATATTATTATAAATATAGCAAAATATAGCAAAATATAGCAAAATTTTATTTTATATTTAACATAAATGTTTTTTATAAGAACTATTAAATTAATAATTATTTAAAAATATGAAAAAATTCAAATAATATGTATAAAAATAACCAAATTTTTTCATAATGATCGAACAACTTATATAAATATCAGTATAAATATTATCTATATTTATTAAATTTATAAAGCAAAAATTTATTTACTTTTTAAACATTAATTTATAATATATGTATATTATAAATCAAAAAATCTTGTTAGATAATTAGCTATTATATATTTAGTTATTATTACTTATTATTAGTTTATTAAAAATTTAAATAAAAACCATAAAATATCAAGTCTTGTATTTACTTACTAGATACATGTAAGTTTGATTTATTACCTACAGAGTGCACCACATCATAGCTCAAAATAATCGCAGCTTAATTTTGCTTCTAACCAAAATAATTTTATTTTTATCTTTGTTATTATTGAAAATTTAATTATAATAATAAATATAAAATATTGATAAAAATATAAGATATTTATTTCTAATGATATAAAATAATATAAAATAAAAATATATTTTATTATTGAAAATTGTGCTTTGAAAATTATCCTTAAAATAATATTAAAAATAACGTCATATACAATAGAAAGTAATTAATGAAACTGATAAGAAAAAGTTTTTCTTTAATTAAATCTATATAAAATTTTTATGCGGGAATATTTAAATTTTAGAAATATTTATATTGTTAAATATTTATTTATATTGTTCATAATGTTTTTATTTGAAATAATTATATAATAATTATATTTTTCATAAAATTTCGTTATGATTTATGTTTTAATTGTGATTCGTAATAAAAAATTCTTTTGTGATATAAATATTATATAAAATTATATCGATTCGGTTAGGAAGCTAATCTGTCATTTTATACGATAGGCAAAAAAATTATGAATATTTGTCAGAATTATATATGATATATTAATATTTTTGAATAATTTATACTACACAAATGAAATAAGTATGAAAAAAAATAAAAATATATAGCAAAAAAGAATAACTATATTTATGTAATAAATAGAAAAGATTGCGCAATAATATATATCTATTCAATCAATTTCTAATAGTGTTCTAATTAAGCAATTTTTTTTAAATTGTATTTTATGAAAAATAGTTGATTATTTAGTTAACGTTGTTAATTATATATATAGATGAATCCTCTTATAAATCGTACAATTTTTTTTTGTGGACGACATTCATTTGGTTATTTTATAAGACAATTTCGAATATCATCTCAAAACATGGTTATCGTAAGTTTTATGATAAATAATAAAATTGTGATAAAATAATCATAATTATCATAATAATCTCATTTATTTATTATATATAAATTATATATATATAAAAAATTAAATATAATTTATATTTTATATAATTATAATTAAATATTTTTTAAGTTATCTTAATAAATTTAATTTTAATAAACTTAGGTAGGTGATAAAATACCCACAATTGATCTTTTTGAAGATTCTCCAACAAATAAAGTGAATCTTGCTAAAATTTCAAATGGAAAAAAAATCATAGTTTTTGGGGTACCAGGAGCTTTTACACCAGGATGTTCAAAAGTATAATTATTCTTAAATTATTCTTTATAGATAATAAATTTTTGAATGAATTTTTATTTTGCTTATAAATATAATCAAAAGATGATAATAAAGTAGTTTATTTCAACAAGTTTAGTTTATTTCAGCAAAAAAATAGAGTTTATTTGTATAAAATACTGATATAAAATTTATTTATCAGTATAGTATAAAAAATTTAATATTATTTTAGACACATCTTCCTGGTTATGTACAAAAAGCTTCAGATTTAAAATCTAAAGGAATTTCAGAAATTTTTTGTATTTCTGTAAATGATCCATTTGTAATGGCAGCATGGGGTAAAGCACAAGGAGCAGAAGGCAAGGTAATATTAAATATATATTGTATATATTTTTTAAGAGCAACATATATTATAATTAAAATATTCTGTTTTTTACATAGGTACGTATGTTGGCAGATCCTGCAGCTCAATTTACAGATGCATTAGAATTATCTATAGATTTACCAGTTCTGGGTGGAAAAAGAAGTAAACGATATTCAATGGTTCTTGATAATGGAATAATTAAAGAGTTAAATGTTGAACCTGATAATACGGGTCTTTCTTGTTCTTTGGTAGAAAATATTAAATTGCATTAAAATATTAAAATTATTATTGAATATTATTAAATATTATTAAATATTATGTAACAAACTTATTACTTAAAAAATTATAAATTGACTTTACATAGGTAAAGTCTTTAATATTTACTCTTTATGTTCATATGATAAAAAAGTTGTAGCATTATAATTTATGCAATAAAATATTATATCTCAAAAGTTTTATATAATGTATTTCATTTAATGTCTATTGTTTCAGCTTTATAAATCCTTAATTATTATGTTTTTCTGTAATTTAGTTTATATTGAAAGATATAAAATACATTATTAAACTAATTAATATATTGCACTTGTATATGTTATAATGTAACTCAACATTTGTAGTTTTTAATTATAAAGAAAAAATCATTGATTCTTTTTACTTTTTGGCAAAATTCTTTAAATCATTTTTCAAATTATAAATTTCTAATTTAATAGTATTTTGTTCTTATATGTTCTTATAATCTATTAATATTTCTGAAATATATAATAAATATTTCATTTATTTGTATTATATACATAAAAATGTAAATAAAAAATACTATTGTGCATAAAATTATATATTTATAAATTTATATTTAATGAATGAAGTTAACAATACTATATACTACTAACTTCACACCAGTCGAAAGACCAATTGTTGATGTATAATGCTTGTTTGTGTTGGAAACTTTATGGCGCCAATTATGCCATTTTGCTGTTATTTGTGAATTTTTTTTCATATTTTTAAAAATGCCGGCTTTTTTAAAGCATATTGAAGTGGAAAACTTCAAATCTTATAAAGGAAAGCTTATTATAGGACCTTTAAAATCATTTACTGCTGTTGTTGGACCAAATGGCTCTGGTAGGTTATGTTCTATTAGAGTAGTATAAGCAATTCTAATAATTTTACATTTATTATACATTATATATATCTTTTTAAAATAGGAAAATCTAATTTTATGGATGCAATTAGTTTTGTTATGGGAGAAAAAACAAGTAGTTTACGAGTAAAACGGTTTAGTGAATTAATACATGGAGCTTCAATAGGAATGCCAGTTGCTCGAAGGTATCTATGAATTTTTTTATGTTATTTTAGAAATATGTACTATTTTAATATAATATTTTAATTTTATTGAAAAATTAATATAATATATAATATTTTAATACTTTATATTAATCTTTAATTAATTTATATAAATAATTTTACATATGATTTTTATTTTATACTTTTATTTTAAAAATATTTTGAGTTTGAAATCAATTTCTTTCAATTTTTCAATTATTTTGAATTAATTATTGAATAAATAATTAATATAATTATAATTATAAAATATAATTATATATTTCATTATAAATTATTTATCAATGCAAAATATGTTGTTATTTTTTCTTTTATTTATTAATTTATTTTTAAATTTAATTTTAATAAAAAATTTATATTTTTCAATATTTTTTGTAATTATCATTAATATAATATAATATTACAGTGCATCTGTAACTGCTGTGTTTGAATTAGAAGATGGTACTGAAAAAAGTTTTATGCGTTCTGTTCAAGGATCTTCTTCAGAACATAGAATAAATAATAATGTAAATTTTACATGTTTTTAAATATATTTTAATTATAAATTTGAAGAAAATTTATCAATTTTTTTTTATATAGGTTGTTACTAGCCAAGTTTATCTTAATGAATTGGAACAACTTGGTATTAATGTTAAAGCAAAAAATTTTCTGGTATTTCAAGGAGCTGTTGAATCAATAGCTATGAAAAATCCAAAAGAACGTACTGCACTTTTTGAAGAAATTAGTAATTCTGGAGCATTAAAGGCAGAATACGAAAGGTAATTACATATGAATATAAATTTTTTATAGAATATATATGATATTTATTATTTTATAGATTAAGAACAGAAATGTTAAAAGCAGAAGAAGAAACTCAATTTTCATATCAAAAAAAGAAGGTATTGCTGCAGAACGGAAAGAAGCAAAAACTTGAAAAAAGAAGAAGCTGAAAAGTATCAACGTTTAAAAGAAGAATATGTAAAATTATTTATTTGTTTATTCATTTTATTAAATAAATTATGTAACTTATAAATATATTATGAATAATAATTTTTATATTTATAGATAGAGAAACAAGTAGAACTTCAATTATTTCGTTCATTTCATAATGAAAAAAGTACAGAAAACTTAGAAGTTTTACAGAAGAAAAAACAACATGAAATAGAAAAAATTGAAAAGAAAAAAGAAAAAGCAGAGGAATTATTAAAAGAAAAAAAGAAAGAAGCTGGAAAATTGGGAAGAGATCTTGCTAAAATAGAGCAGGATATTAGAGAAGTAGAAGTAGAAATAACAAAAAAAAGACCACATTATTAAAGCAAAAGAACGTGTTGCACATATGCAGAAAAAAGTAGAATCAGCTAGAAAATCATTAGCTCAAGCACGTATTGCAGATGAAGCTCATAAGAAAGATATACATGAACTTCAAGAAGAATTGCGACAAGTTGAAGAAGCTAAAGCAGCTTATGAAGCAAGTATTGCTGGTCAATCACAATTACAAGGAAGAGATGTGCAACTTGAAGATGAACAGGTTAGAAAAAGATTAAATAAAATTAATTTAATGATAATATTTTATAAAATAATTTACTTTGAAATAATATATTGCAATATTATATATTACAATTTTAATATTATATTATAATAATAGTATATAATTAATTTAACTTTTATAGTAAAATTTATAAGAATGTATTTAAATATTTATTTGAAAATAAAAATCACAATAAATATAAAATTAATTCAAGGTTAGAGAATACAATCGTTTGAAGGAAGAAGCAGGTAAACAATCGGCAAGATATTTACAACTTCTTGATTCTATTAATCGAGAACAAAAATCAGATCAAGATAGACTTGATAATGAAGGAAGAAAGAAAACAGAAATAGAAAATAAACATAAACAGAAAGGTCATATGCGAGATGAAGCTCTTAAAAGAGTGGAAAAATTAGAAGAGCATATAAGAACATCAGAAGCTGCCTTAGAAGATCAGAAAAAGTTGCGGGCCGATTTACAATCTGATGTTGGTACATCAAAAGATAAAATACAAAATTTACAGCGAGAATTAGAAAGCATTTCTGAACAACTAGGTGATGCAAAAGTTGATAAACATGAAGTATCAAGAACTAAAAAGAAAACCGAGATTGTGGAAAATTTTAAACGTCTTTTTCCTGGAGTAGTAAGCTTAAATTAGAATTAATATTTTATTAATTTTTTATAAAATATTATTTTATATTAATTTAATAATATATATATCACATAATTATTATTAATTATAATTATTTCTTAGTATGATCGTATGTACAATATGTGTGAACCTATTCATAAAAGATATAATGTTGCAATTACAAAAGTTCTTGGAAAATATATGGAAGCTATTGTTGTTGATACTGAAAAAACAGCTAGACAATGTATTCAATATCTCAAAGAGCAATATCTTGAACCAGAAACATTTCTCCCTCTTGATTACATTCAAGCAAAACCATTAAAAGAAAGGCTTAGGTATGTAGGTAAAAATTATAAATTTTAGAAATTAATTAAATAATTAATTAAATAATATTCTTTATATTAATTAATTTAATTAAAAATTAAAAAAAATTTTTAAATTTCTTTATATTACTTATATATATATATTATAAAGATTATAATGTTTTATTATATAATTTCAATTTTTTTTTTTTTTTTTTCTAGAAATATTCAAGAACCTAAAAATGTAAAATTATTATATGATGTATTACATTTTTCACCCAAAGATATTGACAGAGCTGTATTGTTTGCTACAAACAATGCACTTGTATGTGAAACACCTGAAGATGCAAATAAAGTAGCTTATGAAATGGATAAAAAAGCAAGATATGACGTATGTATGCAATATTTTTTAAGGATTATAATAATTAAATAATATATACATGTATAATTACAGTGTGTTGCATTAGATGGAACATTTTATCAAAAAGCAGGAATAATATCTGGTGGTAGTTTAGATCTTGCAAAAAAAGCAAAAAGATGGGATGAAAAACAAATGTCTCAATTAAAAGCACAGAAAGTAAGACATATTAATTCATGTATAGTTTATGCATATTTTATTTTACATAAAATTGTATCAATATATAATAATAGTAATTGTAAATATTAAATATTTTGTAGGAAAAATTAACAGAAGAATTACGTGAATCATTAAAAAAATCACGAAAAGAATCAGAATTAAATACAGTTGAATCTCAAATACGAGGATTGGAAACACGTTTAAAATACAATAAAAGCGATTTGGCTGCTACGGTAAATAATATAATTTATATATCATACTATAATAATAATAATGGCAATATTATCTTTAAAAATCTATTAATAATCTAAAAATATCTTTTATATAAACATATGATTACGAAATTATATATTTATTACAGCAAAAACAAATTGCAGAATTAGAAACAGAATTAGATGCTCTTCAGAATGAATTAAATATGTTTGGTGTACGTATATTTTTTTTTTATATTTATGTAAAAACTTTTAAAATATTAATTAATACAATTTTTGTATACAGCCAGCAATAGCTGCAATTGAAAAAACTATGGCTGAGAGAGATCAAGAAATACAAAACATCAAAGAAAAAATGAATAATGTTGAAGATGATGTATTTGCTAGCTTCTGTGAACAAATAGGTGTATCCAATATTCGACAATATGAGGAAAGAGAATTACGGTATGTTTTTGGAATTTTTAACGAAAAAATTATCTATAAAACTAAATATAATTATAACTATATTAAATAAAACTATTATTTTTTACAATTATATTTTTAGTTCACAACAAGAAAGAGCAAAAAAGAGAATGGAATTTGAAAATCAATGTAATCGCATTTATAATCAATTAGATTTTGAAAAACAACGTGATACGGAAAGTAAGAACTAAAATTTTTATATATTTTTAGAAAATATAATATATAATAATAAATTTAAAAAATTACTCAATCTGTTAATTTATATAAAATTTAGGTAATGTTTTACGATGGGAACGTGCCGTACAAGATGCTGAAGATAAACTTGAGTCTGCCCGACAAACTGAATCTAATCAAAAAGCAGAAATAGATCATGATGAAACTCAGATGGAACAATTGAAATCGGCACGAAATGCAAAAAAAATGGAAGTTGAT